GTTATCTCTGTTAGGCATTTCAGTTTGCAACTGCTAAGCAGTCGCGAAATTTGTCGGCTTTAATAAATTCTGCTGTGTATTCTTACTCTAGCTTCATGCCAAAGAAATATTGCTATAATATATTTAAGTATTTTGACTTGCTTATCTCTGTCTAGCGCAAAACATCGCCGTGCACACATAAAAACTTTAAAATTACGCACAAAGCTGCTTTTCTAGAGCAACATCGCATGCGGTAAGCGCAGAGTCTTATGAAGAACGCATTTAATACTTTCACTGCGTTGAGCCGTAAAACTAATAATAAGATGAGGTCGCGGAACAGTTCGGTAGGTAAATTATTACCACAAGAACATGTTCTGACCAACAACCTTTTATTCGTCAAACAAAAAGCGCAAATTGCATCGACAAAGGAAATCCCGAGTAGCGTTCTGCCGAGGCGCCAGACTATTTTTCCTTTACCTGCCTGTTCATCATTCTTGAACTTACTGGTTGTTTAGTTGGATGGAAGGAACACACCACAAAGCGACGCGCTCGGCATCTTTCGCATTCGTTTGCAGATTCTTTCATAACTCCTGTCTTATCCTGACATCCATAGTCTGGGACTGGCAGTTGTGTCCTTAGCGCTCACAAGAGCATCTTTATTTAATTTCCGATACCAATAAAAAATAAATCATTTTTCCGGGAATAAGTGCCTAAGAAACTACTGACGTATTCTTTCTTCACTGCAAATCACCACATAGTATTTAATAATTGAACATAAAAAGTTTACGATAAAAATCTGTCTAGTATTTGTGCATACTGATGTAAAACACAAATATGCAGATGCTTCTAGAGTCCAGGACTACGTGCTGCGTTTTTTACGCTAGTAAATAAACACAGCCGTTGCAGATCTCAGGTGTTTACTGATTACTACACTGGATATAGATAGCAATACACAGACTACCTGGTCGGCAATAATTCATCCGCTTCAAATTTAAGTAAAGTATCTTGCAAAAATATTTCTTCGATTAAAGCCGATTTATCACTAAAGGATATGAACGTGGAGGAATGAGAGAAAATAAACAAACCTCCACAACAGATTTGAGGGGAGAGTTAAAGCATCAGCAATAACCGACAAGTGTGGACGCCATAATTTTCACTTTTGATATTGCTGACGTTATACAGATATTTCTGGACCAAAATTCCATATTTATGTATAGTGGATTACTCGAAACGCACTCAACTTAAAAGCTACATTTATTCTCTTCCTAAGCTTCCAATTTCTCCTATTCCGCGAATGTACTTCTGAAAGCAAACGAACGGTAAAACAGGATTTTGGAAATATCGCTAAATATGATTGGAATATCTGTTATAACAAAAACTACTGCAAAGCCGATACACCAAAATCTTGCTGTCCGCGTCAACGATATCTTATTCAGTTTTGTTTGGACGATATATCCGGATCGCCGAGCGACATGCAGCAGATGTACTACCTCATTAAATCTAAGCAAAATTTTAAAACGTTCGATTCCAAAGGATTACTTGAGTCGGGTTGACATATTAGCTGGCATGCCGCATAATCCTAAAATATATCGGACACGATTGGACGCCGACTTCTGGAGGAACTTCTTTTTCGCCTCGCGCAAAACATAACCGCTTAAGTAGTGCGACTTTTCCCATTTAGTTTCGACGTCCTTATAAATTCCAAATGTGCATAAGTGTGCATAAAATATCCTTTCTTCCTCTCATTCGGTAGCCTGTAGCGTTTTGTGTTAACACTATGTTTAAAACATATTTGCTTGTTTTTAAAGGCTTCTTTAATTTGCGAATAATTTTTAAACCTACCTGTTGCTAGACCTGCGCTCAAGGTTTCCAATATAGAAGCCGTATATTTTGTGTAAGGAGAATCATACTCCTTGTACGCTTTTGACTAATCATCAAATGGAGCTTATACTTTTTTATAGAGATATGGACCATGTTGTTTTCATCATAAACGTCACTACCGCGATTCAAATGTTGTTCCCTGTCTCATTAACAATCCCCTATTTTGAAAGGCGGATCTCATATCTCTCCCAATTTAGTCCATGATGAGTCTTCTCGGCGGTTGTGTTTCTGTCTGACTCCTGCAGACGCAGACGGTGTTAGCTTTGTGCCCACGTTGAGGGGTTGGGATTACAAAGGTGTCACATGGCAAATCGACGCAGCGAATCTACGTCACAGCTTATTCGCAGATCATTTAATTTTTCACAACGTGGTTTCCATTTCGATAATAACAGCTCCCAACGTTCTGACAGTGCTTCTACCCATTGTTTCTTGTTTTGTTTGCAATTTCGGACAAAAAAATTATCTCCCTTCCGTAAGTAGTCTTTTTTGACGTTCTGAAAACTCGGACCTTAGGTTTTGATTACCGTAATCGTCATGAGGTTGTCAGCACAAAAAACTCCCGGCTAGTGTTTAGCCGCCCAGATCACCAATCGGAGTTGTTCCGTAGGCCAAAAGGAAGGTGTTGAGGCGGTCCCTTTTAGCGCCTGCGTTCCCCATCCTACTTAGTGCGTTCTTGAAGATGTCAACAAAGCGTTCTGTCTGGCCATTCGGTTGGAGGTAAAATGGTGATAACACCACATGTTCGATTCCCCATTTCTGACACGACTGTTGGAACAGTGATGACGATACTCGACAGACGCTACTTATCGCATTCTCTGTGAGATAAAAAAAACCTTGCATTATGTTCTTCCTTCCTTTTTGGTGCTATTTCGGTGGCACCGACCGCAAAGCCGAAAACCTCTTGCCACTTTGACCATGTGTCGTTAACCACAAAAAACACTCGGCTAGGGAATGGTCCGGTGAAGTCCATATGGACCCTACCCAACGGTCTCGTCACCTTCGGTCCCAGCCTAGAGGTTCTGTTCTGCCGTTTCGTAACCTCACGTCCACATGAAGCTACTCCTCAAACAAAAGATTTCACATCGCCATAACTTTCTGGCTAATATATTTACCTTCGTGTCAGTTGCCTCATGTAGTCGTATCTTGGTGTCCGGCATGAAGTTTAAGTAAAATCTGCTGTTGATGCTTGGGCAGACTCGCCACTCCACTATCATACATTTTTCGGCGATGTACAACTAATCCTTTTGGTTCCTGAAAGGCTTTATAGCTGGGCGTACTTTTTCTTTGCTAGCCCGACCGGTCCAAATAATAGTCAGTTTGATGCAGTGGTTGCCCTGATATATTCGTCTGTGATGAGCACCTGTCGGATGGCATTCCAAACCTCGTCATCGTTTTGCATGAGAATGCTTGCGCCTAACACGTCTTCCCGATTTTCTTCGCCCACGCTCAGTTTTGTTGAAGTGTCCGGAGCTCCGAACTTCTGAGTAGACACGTATTGAATTGTGAAGTCATTACTCGGGCGTATGGTATCACACCGCTGTATCCTCTCGGTCGTGTGCTGTGGCACGCTACAATTTTTGTCTAACAAAAAATTAGTGGCTGATGATACGTGTGGGGGACGAAACGTTTGTCGTAAATGGATTTGTGGAATGTTTGGACTGCAATGATTGCTGGCAGCACCTCCTTTTCGATTTGACTGTAGTTTCGTTCTGCCCTTATGAGTGATCGTGTGGCATGCGCCAAAAGCAGGATATTTCCGTCTGGGTCTTTCTGAAGAATAACATCGCCCAGACCTCAATCTGATGCATCCGCCTGAACGGGTGTTTCTTCATCTGCTTCGAAATGTGAGAGCACACTCAACTCATTGGTCATCACCCTTATATTGTCAAACACTTCCTGACCGTCTGTAGACCAATTAAATTCGACGTCTTTGCAAAGTAGTCCATTTACTGATGGTTTTAAACTGTGCAGTCCCACAAAAAATGGTTCTCATCTCTGTAACAGATTCTTAAGTGGATTTCACAAGTCCTGTCTCTAAACCAATGTGATTTGAGTACATGTAAATTAGTTTGAAAGTTCGTTCCGAGCTTGTGTAAAACAAGATGAGATGAGAATTTCCGAGGGAGGCACATGAAAACGTCGAAATCCCACTACAAATTTTTCGAAAAGAATCAGAAAATATCAGTTAGAGAGGTCTCTAGGGGCACTGGTACAGCGAAAAGAACATCTCATGGAGGCCTTCAATCGACGTGGAAGAGGCCTTGCGATGCATACTTTCATTACACGCCTTTCATGAGAAGATTATTAACCCCAGTGTGGAGAACTTGTGGTTAAATTGACCACAATCTGATGTGCTTTGTTGTTGGGGACCGCATCCCAGGCATATATTTTAGCTGGATGGTCAGAGATTTCTCCTTTGGGATATTTTAAGCCTGATATTTTTCTTTACACCTCACACACATTTATGGATGACAGAAGTCTGCCTAAAATGCCACCAAAAATATGATTATAAAAAATCACTTCTGGAACTTGCGCTAGTTTTGGATATCTATGGGAAGATAAGTATTACGTGATCGAGCTCTTACCCAATCACCTGGGTTTGGAGTAGAAGCCGTAGATGATACTCAGTCAGAGACAAATATCCCAAAATGTATGCAGTGGGGGTCCGATTAAAATTTTTTTCAAGTTAAAGCTTTCATTTCAGAGCCGAAGGAGTTTCCGTTTTCCTAATTAAGTACCGCAATTTTTCTGAGAATTTCAACCCTCCTCATTAAGATGCCCATATTTTGTTGGTATTTTGAAACTATTTGACATATAATCCAGCATCTCACGCCTGTTTGTTATCGCCACAACCGAATTAGCCAGTAATACTCAAATAGCTCACCATAAGATCCTGCAGAGCTTAGAGGACCGTGGTCTTTATGGCAATCATGTATTGTATGGGGCAACGAGCTCGTGGTCCAGTGGTTAGAGGCGTTGGACCAACAGGTCGTGGGATCGAGCATCAAGTGTCCAACACTTCGGGATTGGGTATGACTGACTGACGACGGCTAATAAGCCAGAGGTGGCCATTTCAGTCTCCAGAAGATGAAGATGCGATCACTGGGACAAGAAGTTTATTTGCCTGACGTTTCGGATTCTCACTCGAATCCATCATCAGAGACATTCGCAGATAGAGGTGAAGGTGGCACCAGGAGTGCAGTATTTATAGCACGTGGCTGCCGTGGGACCGTATGCGCACTGCAATTAACAGTTCTCACAATGGCCGCTGGGGTCGTAATTGATGCGGCGGTGGCTTGGCGGTCCGAGTCCGAGTTGTTAATTGCCGCGATTTCGTCATCTGTGCTCGATGCTGGTGTGACGATTGCTCGGCAAACTGGCTCACTGTCACCGTGATAATTGCTCACCCGCGCCCTCCCCACGTGACTGATTCTCCTGCCCAGGGAAAATCGCAATACGGAATAGGCCACCGGGAGGTCATTGTGTTTGTTGATGGATTGCGGGCCTGAGAACCATGACTCGAGCAGCTCGCGGCTCACGCGGTTGTCACCCCTTGCGAGGATTTCGGCCTCTTGAAATTTGAAAGTATGGCCGGGTCCCGTCGAGTGTGCCGCCACCTGAGAGTTAGCGTCTCCCCGCCTCACTGCTGCTGCGTGCTCGGCAAGTCGCGTACGGAGTAATCTCCCAGTTTCTCCGACATAATTGCTTTGTCCGCAACTACACCAGATCCGGTTAACGACTCCAGACGTTTCCTGCCGTGGCAGCGGGTCTTTTGGCCTCATTACTTGGCGCCTAATGGTTGCTTCCGGCCTCTGTGCAACCCCAACTCCAAGTGGAGTGAGAAGACGACTGACGGCTTCCGAGACGATCTTCACGTACGGAAGAGCCCGCCAAAATTTGGGGCTAGTTGGATTTGGTCTCTGGTGTCCTTTTTGTATGCACTGGTTGACAAAGCTGCGCGGGTTGTCATTGGCTCTCATTACCCGTCGAAGATATTGTAATTCAGCAACCTTGTTTTCCATTTCACTGCAGTGCGTCTCAACGCGCCGGTATAGCGCCCTTACGCAAATGCGTTTGTGACTGATCGGGTGGTTGCTATTGAAGTTCAGTATTTGCGTCGTATTTGTCGCTTTCCTGAACACTTTGGTTTTTAGGCCACCACAATCTTTGCGACAGACGAGGACATCCAGGAAGACCAGCTGATTGTTTTCCTCCTCCTCCATCGTAAATTGAATGTCCGGGAAGACAGCCTTGAGTTGTTCTTTGAAAGTCAGCACCTGATCCCGTTCGATGACGACGAAGGTGTCATCCACATACCGAGCCCAGAATTTCGGTCTGTGGTGTCGGAAAACCAGCGACTCCAGCCGTTGAAGGACTGCCTCGGCTACGAGTCCCGAAATCGGCAAACCCATTGGCGTGCCCTTCACCTGCTCGTAGATTGTTCCGTCGGATATAAAGTGCGTCTTTAGACAGAACTTCAGGAGCTGGATGATTTGGGCGTGTCCGAGGCGGTTCTCCGTTTCGTCGTACTTCTCTCGTAGGAGTAGTTCGATTGTCTCGACTGCCAGGTCCTGCGGGATAGAAGTAAAAAGGGACGTGACATCAAAGGAAACCATGATATCGCATGGCAGGAGACTTACTCCTGTAAGTTTCTCCAAGAATTGCGTTGACGAGCTGACTGTGGTGTTCGAATCGGAGGTCAGAAACTTGAGACATTGGAACAGCCACTTTGCCAGTCCGTAGGTTGGAGTGCCCTTTAGTGATACGATAGGCCGGAGAGGAGCGCCCTCTTTGTGCACTTTTGGGAGACTGTTCGCTTCTATCAGCAATTTCAGTCTCCCTTGTCATTGTCGGTTATGCAATTCTGCCTACATCGTGTGCCGCTCGAGAGAGAGAGAGAGAGTCTAAAGACACAACGGGACAGGTGAGTTCCATAAAAAATCAATGAGTTAGCGCCCATTTACCATTTGGTATTTATCTATGAATGACCCTTGTTCGTGAAAACTCGATAGTGAGTGGGACCTCTGGCCTTGTCAGTCATTTGCGCCCGGTTCTAGAACCAAATGGCTGGCCGGCCCAGACAGTGAGCCGCTGCGTGAGTGAGGGAAGAATGAGTAATATCGACATAGCGGAGTCCATTCCCACAACGAGTTCGGCAAGTTTCTCAATCTGGCGCGTACTACATCTTTTAGGACGCGCTAAGCATCGTGATCTCGAAGTCTTTCAATTGACTAAGTAGCTCACTCCTCTCAGGATATAGAGTTAGGCTGCAATGACTCCTTCTCACTGTGGCCTCTACGACACCCCCTCCCGCAGGCGGGATCTGAGTCGACCAATTCTTTTGTTTGGAACCCAGCACACTGTGCGCGGACCAGGCGTGTGTGTGGCACGCATAGCTGGACTTCTGTCTCTGTCAGCCATTGGATCAGCACGCGCCTTCGACCGTCATGACATTGTCTTGCTATCGGAGCCTGGTGCGTGGAGGAGGAGGAGGAGGAGGAGGAGGAGGAGGAGGAGGAGGAGAGTGTGTGACGGGCGGGGTGCAAGTCTGTTATTACCATATACTTATTTGCGTTCAAGCCACCGACCTGCTGTGGGGCACATGGAGGACATCGTCGTTCGCTATTGGCTGAAGTGACATCTACGACATCCATCGCGAGACATCCGTGGAGAGAACAGCAGGACAGGATATCCAGAAAGCGCTCAATAGATGGCTGTGGTCCTCGCATTTCACAGCATTCCTACCCTCAAAAATCCCTCTCATGCAAATTCTTTGACATTTATTAGGCTGTACATGTCGTATAAGCTTTTCTTCAGAAGGTGACTGCGCAAGCCGCCTGGGCTTTTCTGTCCGTCATCTCATCTTACCCTGAGGATAATTATATTTTAATTAGGTATCGTGACAAAGTCGTCAGTAGGTACAAAATGCACGTGCTAGTTCTTTATTTTATTCAAAGTTGTTCTAAGTTATTTAACAAGCGTATTATAACTGATTAAAACAAAACGGACTTAAATCTCACCACAACTTTTTGACATGATGTTAAAATTTATATCTCCTTGCATTTTATAAATTCGTAGGCGCAAAAACCCCTTAAATGCTGGTTTTGTGTGAAACAGGTAATACTGCTATGAAAGGGCCTACTAAAAAAATGAGCTCGGCTGCATAGCAGGCATTTCACTGTGTATGGATCAAGGCGGATTTACGACAAATCCGTTCGATAGTTTGACCCCAACTTAAAAATATTTCCCACTGCAAATCAGGCTAAAAGATTTTATTGTGTGCTCATTTTTCACCCACACAAATAGTACTTCTTCCGTTTTCAGCGAAATCAGTAGAGGGATAAAGGGGTGACTTGTAGTCTCTAAAAACAACGGATGCTGCCCCCTTCCGTCGTGAATCCCTTCCCGCAAGAACACGTAAACGTCCAAAATGTGAAAGGCAGGACTGACCACAGTTCAAAGACCAAGATGGAGACTGAAATCGCCTAGCGAAGGCGTCCGCTTCAGACTACTGCCCCTGATCAGGATCATCGACGACACTGTGCTTGTCAGTGAATGCAGTCGCAACGCGACACTGACAGAAACCGGAGACAATTAATATTCATTATTTATAATTTCTACAGTAAATTCTGCGATTAATGCAGGAAGGAAGTGCAAATATCCCTCACGGACTAGTCCTGGCTTTATCTCTGTCAGCTCATGATTCGCTCAACGCTGAAAATCGAGGAAGGAGGGCAAGCATATTCAACAGATTGGAAACAATCTGATTAGAGTTCTTGGAAATTTGCGCCAGGTGGGATAACTCAGGGAGTTCTAGAAATTCGGAGATGACAATTGAGGCTTAAAATTGTCCTTGGAAGCGACTAGGCGTGTTTCTTGGGGGGGGGACCGTTGTTCTAATCAGCCCTCGACCTGTGTAGTAATTTCAGTCCTTACATTAGCACGTCAAGGCTGACTGAACTAATAATGTTTTGGCAAGGATAACTTACGAACAGAGTTGAATGCTTGAATTTCAGATGTCAGTATGAGTCGGGATGAATAAGACTGATCGAGCAGCGGAAATATGTGTTTAATTGTTTGACCTTTCAAACTCATGCAGGAACACATCGTTAAAGACAAAAACAGCAACAGAATAGACGAGAGTTATGGGACATTGCCTGTCAAACATAGATCGATATCACGCGTATGCAGGTGGCTGCGCAGGGCTGTGTATGTGGAGGCCAAAAGGATGCATCGATCAATTGAGTTCTCATCCGAGGTCTTAAATTCATTCAATTCCCGGCTTATCTTTTTTGGGCCCAGACAAATGCCTTGACGGCTGCGAAGTTTAACTTGCAGCCTGTTCGGAAAGCGGGCAGTCACTTGTCACTCCTTTGCACAGCCAGATTATTTTCATACATGCGCGGCCTGAACATGCGTTCGATCTGACCTGCGTAATTACAAGAGCAGTTTAAGCAACGGATGCGATACACTACGCCCGAATACTCACTTGGACTCAATCGGTCCCTGATTTTCATGATCCTAATACGCATGGTACCTCTGGACTGCTGTGCAATTGCAACACCTAATCCCACAACAATGCAATCGGTCGCTTCTGAAACGCCCCTACTGTGCGGTAGACCATGCCCTATTCATGATGACACTTCTGTTTGAGTCTGCCTGGAAGCAGCACGTAGGCATCGACTTTTAGAAACATTCAGATGTTTGTTCTGCATAACTAGATCACAGAGTTATCGGGTCTCGCATGCTCTTTCCTCAAGTTTGCTGCAAGGAGTTTGAATCCGTTTGAGGAACGTTCTCATGCAGTTTGATTTGTGAGCCACGGCGTGCTTGCCGTGCAAAAGATTAGAAACCCTCTGGTGTTTTTGTCTTCCTATAAACAACTGTCTCAAGTTTGCCCTTAGGATTTCGTTTGACTGGCACATCAAAAAGGGTAACTGCTGCTGCTATCCTTCTTCCCTCGTGAATTACATGTCAGGGAAAATTGCGCTGAGCAGGTTATTAAAATGACGCAGCACGTTTATGCTGGCAATAGCAAAGGCTCCTGTTCGATTAATCCAGGACCAGTTCTGTTAATGAACCAAGAATTGGGGAGCCCTTTAAAGTTCGCTTCATCTGCTTATAGGTTTCTTTACACGGCCTAAGTCCGTTTTCGGCAAGATTCGAGCATCTTCAAGAGATGCGGATTCTAACTGTCATCATTTGTCCCCCCCCCCCAACCAGGTTTTCTGCTCGAGAATTTGTGCGCCAACCCCGGTGCCATGGATGTAAACAACAACGCTGCGTTTAAAGAGACCATGGTGTCGTCCAGTTGGATCCTTCAGATTTTGTAGGTCTATAAGGAATATGGAGGCTGAATGGGATGAGGGGACCGAAATGTCTTGAAGGAACAGCACTTTCAAGTACTTCCACTGTGCTAAATTAAAGGTGACGCTGCCTTTTAGGGCCGTACTGCAGCACTCAGTTTGGGAATGTTTGCAGTGCCCATTGGTTTCACTTAACGCTATTCGTCTCTACAAATTCACCCAACTGGACTTCTGCTGTATTGGCTTGTGAGCTTTGCGCTCGTCAGAAGGTTCTCGGCTTTCTCGTTCGAGTCTACTCAGATCATCACAACTGTTTATGGTTCCTCCGCCCTAGGTAGAATAATATTTTTTCTTCCTTCCTCAGTTCGTTCATAGCTTGTCAATGACCCTGTGGCGTCAAATGTGCTGGTTTGTGCGCCATCAGAAAGGACGTAACACGTCGGCCGAATGTGCGTTACTTGCCTCTGATTGTTTAAAGGTAAGAACGAAGTAACCCAGATCGCCAATCTTTGTCCAGTTCCTATACTGCCTTGTTTACGTTCCAAAGAAATCAATGCGCAAACTTGAAGTAGGACCTTCAGAACAAAGTCAATATGGCTCGACTTGAAAGCTCACAAAAGATCCACACTTGGAATTGGGTATGACTGGCTGAAGGCGGCTAGTAGGTCAGAAACGCCATTCAGTCTCCCTTGTCTTTGTTGTTACCATGTCATTTACTTCAGCTACTACAATTCGCTGTGCGACTGCCTACGAGGGTTCTAGTATGAACTTCAAACAATAACGGAACAAACGCGTTCCGTAACCGGATCTGTGAGCGCTCATCTGTCATAATGCATATATATACATATATAATGGTAGGGGGCGCTCACCGAACGTTCATACGGAACTCACTCGTTCCGTTGTGCCTTAAGGGCTCTCTCTCGAGCCCAACCAGCAGCCGCACAGCGGCGCATGATATAGAGGCAGAATGGTATTTCCGACAAAGACAAGGGAGACTGGAATGGCCATTTCTGGCTTATTAGCCGTCGTCAGCCAGCCATACCCAAGCCCGAAGTGTGGAACACCCGAGGCGTGGACTTCTAAACCAACAGGTCGCGAGTTCGAGGCTCGGGTGTTCCACACTTCGGGCTTGGATGTGGCTGACTGACGACGGTTAATAAGCCAGAAATGGCCATTCCAGTCCCCCTTGTCTTTGTCAGTAATACCATTCTGCCTATATATATATATATATCCATCATTCTCAATCACTAAAATAACCGTCCTGCGGCTCATAAAAGGAGCTATGTCCGAACCCTTTCGCACTGGGCCTA